TTTTTTCTGCATCTGGAACGCACCGGAACTGCCAGCGCTGATGTGAACAATGACACCGACCACCAGATCACCGACTTTCTGTGCGTTTTGGAGACAGAAAAAAAAAGCAACTGAACCGCATGGAGTGTGAACCGGTCCTCAATGATAATGCCAAACAGGACAGTGAATCTCCCTAATGGGGGGGCGCAGACGGCGATGAAAATTGATGGGGGGGTCATCTAACTCCTCCCTTCTATCCAAAGAGTACATAAGTTGTACCTGTTTATCTGTATCCTTCTCTTCTCTACTTCCTTCTCTTCTCTACTTCCGTTCAAAGTGCTGACTTTATACAGCTTGTCTGAGAGTTCAGAAAAAAGGGGGCGGAGAGCTACTGCAGAGCTCAGTGAGAGCTGATTTTAGGGACGGCCCCCCACCTTCACGACCACACAGGAGCAGAGCTGAGGCTGTCAATCACAGGCTGTGTGCTGGAGCTCCTCCTCCCCTCTGTCACCTTGTTATCTCTCGGTGTCAGGAAAACCTTCCTCGGGTACCCGCCTTCATTGGCTGTAGAGGAGTCCAATGGTGGGGTCCAAGCGGCAGCATCACGACTTTTCACCAAGAGACCGGGCGGTGGGCTTGCACCCGCAAAAAAAGTCACATGACAGACGGTTTTCTTTTTGTGAATAGGTGGGCGGGGACGGGGGCGGGTTTGGTGATTTCACCTGATTTGGAGATTGTACAATCGGATTGCAATGTGTAGGGTCGCATTCAAACGTCAAAGTATTCCGAAGGATCATTGTGTTCGGAATCCTCCAATCAGAGACGGCTCCTCAGCCCCCGTCCCCCCACCCATCTCCCGGGAGCGCCGTTAATTTTTTTTCTTCGCCTTTTTACAGCAATTGGAGTTTGATATAAAAGGTGGGATCCTGCGGCGGACACGAGCGGAATGCCGACCGAGGGAGCGATTCATGTGAGATCACCGCCGCCCCATTCGCCAAATTTAATGAGGAGCTCCGCGAGCCGCGGAGGAGCGTTTCATTGGCTCTTCCTGTGCTGGGCCGACGCCTATTTCATGAATCATTTATATAGCGCTGACATGGTCTGTAGAGCTGTACAAAGATCATTGCTGAATGGTATCCCGCCTCACTTCCTGTCCTGGTGACACCCATACCAGGAAGGAGGGAAAGGGGGTCACACAGAGCTGTAGGAACCCCTTCTCTACATTCTGGGGGAGGGGGCTACAGAAGTTGGGATGAAGGACCCCTCTGCCATCCACCTCGTCTAGGGGCCCTGTGATCCACGCCATCATGGGACCCCTATACTCAACACAAGGGCCCCCTCTAAGATCCACTTCATTACGGGGCCCCAATGCTGATTGCAGGGGCTTTTATACCGGAGCCCCCCCCTTCTATATTCATCACAGGGGTCCCTCTAGGGTACATGTCATCCTGGAGCCACTTTCAGGGTTCATATATACTACAGGCCCTATCCTGGGGGCCCTCCTACAGCACACACTGGGCTCCTGGGGCCCCTCCAAGGCAAGCATTGGGTTCATGGGGCCCCTACAGCACACACTGGGCTCCTGGGGCCCCTCTACAGCACACACTGGGCTCCTGAGGCCCCTCTACAGCACACACTGGCTCCTGGGGCCCCTCTACAGCACACACTGGGATCCTGGGGCCCTTTTACAGGACACACTGGGATCCTGGGCCCCTCTACAGCACACACTGGGATCCTGGGACCCCTCTAGAGCACACACAGGGATCCTGGGGCCCCTCTACAGCACACACTGGGATCCTGAGGCCCCTCTACAGCACACACTGGGCTCCTGGGGCCCCTCTAGAGCACACACTGGGATCCTGGGGCCCCTCTAGAGCACACACTGGGATCCTGGGGCCCCTCTACAGCACACACTGGGATCCTGAGGCCCCTCTACAGCACACACTGGGCTCCTGGGGCCCCTCGACAGCACACACTGGGCTCCTGAGGCCCCTCTACAGCACACACTGGGGGCCCCACAGCACACCTCGGGCTCCTGGGGCCCCTCTACAGCACACACTGGGCTCCTGGGGCCCCTCTACAGCACACACTGGGCTCCTGGGGCCCCTCTACAGCACACACTGGGATCCTGGGGCCCCTCTACAGCACACACTGGGATCCTGGGGCACCCCATCCTGGGGCCCCCAGCACACACTGGGATCCTGGGGCCCCTCTACAGCACACACTGGGATCCTGGGGCCCCCATACAGCACACACTGGGATCCTGGGGCCCCCCATACAGCACACACTGGTATCCTGGGGCCCCCATACAGCACACACTGGTATCCTGGGGCCCCTATACAGCACACATCTGGGGCCCCCATACCACACACACTGGAATCCTGGGGCCCCCATACAGCACACACTGGGATCCTGGGGCCCCCATACAGCACACACTGGGGCCCCCATCCTGGGATCCTGGGGCCCCCATACAGCACACACTGGGATCCTGGGGACCCCATACAGCACACACTACCCCCCCTATTCTCTCCCCTACTGTGGCTGTACACAGTTACCAAGGAAACCAGCAGAAGTGGGCGGAGCAGTGGATGAGCTCTGGACGGGGCGGGGCTAGGTGTGTTTCGGGAGCTCGCAGCGGCCGGAACTGAAGAAGAAATACTGAGTTCCGGCCGGGAGAATATCAGAGCGGACAAGCCGGCCGAATTTTCACTCCCATTGGTGGGCCGTGGTCGGAAGTGGGCGTGGGTTCTGTCACAGTCAGCTTCCGGTTGTGAGAGAAGCCGAAGCACGATGGCGACTGACTCCTGGGCCCAGGCGGTGGACGAACAAGAGGCGGCGGCCGAGACGGTGAGAGGAGGACCGGGGGCCCTCAGGGGCTGCTGTATCCTGGGGCCTCTTCACTTAGCTCTTTATCCTGAGACCCTGTACTCAGCCCTGGGCCCCTCTGTCATCCAGCTCATTCAGGGGCCCCTAAACTCAGCACAGGAGCTCCGAGATCCACTCCATCATGGGGCCCCTATACTCAGGACAAGGGTCCCTCTAAGGTCTAGTTAATTCTGGGGCTCTCTTAACCATCAGAGGGGGCCCCTCTGGGGCACTTGTCATCCTGGGGCCCTTCCCAGTGTTCATATATACTAGGGGCCCTATCTTGGGTCTTCTATATCTATCACAGGGGCCCCTCTGGGGGAGATATCATCCTGGGGCCCCTCCCAGTGGTTATATATATACTAGGGGCCCTATCCTGTGTCTTCTATATCCATCACAGGGGCCCCTCTGGGGCACTTGTCATCCTGGGGCCCTTCCCAGTGTTCATATATACAAGGGGCCCTATCTTGGGTCTTCTATATCTATCACAGGGGCCCCTTTGGGGGAGATATCATCCTGGGGCCCCTCCTAGTGTTCATATATACCAGGGGCCCGATCCTGGGCCTTCTATAGTCATCACAGGGGCCCCTCTGGTGTACATGTCATACCAGGCCCCTCCCAGTGTTCATATATACCAGGGGCCCTATCTTGGGCCTTCTATAGTCATCACAGGGGCCCCTCTGGGGGAGATATCATCCTTGGGCCCCTCTTAATGTTCATATATACTAGGGACCCTGTTATGGGCCTTCTATATCCATCTCAGGGGCCCCTCCGGGGTACATGTCATTCTGGGGCCCCTAACAGTGTTCATATATACTAGGAGCCCTCTCCTGGCCTTCTGTATCCATCACAGGGGCCCCTCTGGTGTACATGTCATCCTGGGGCCCTTCCCAGGCTATATATATATATTAGGGGTCCTATCATTAACCTTCTATATTCATCACAGGGGCCCTCCCAAGGTCCATTTATACTAGGGGCCCTATCCTGGGCCTTCTATAGTCATCACGGGCCCCTCTGGGGGAGATATCATTCTTGGGCCCCTCCCAGTGTTCATATATACTAGGGGCCCTATCCTGTGTCTTCTATATCTATCACAGGGGCCCCTCTGGTGTACATCATCCTGGGGCCCCCCAGTGTTCATATATACTAGGGGCCCTATCTTGGGTCTTCTATATCTATCACAGGGGCCCCTCTGGGGGAGATATCATCTTGGGGCCCTTCCCAGGCTATATATATATATATATATATATATTAGGGGTCCTATCATTAACCTGGAAGGCGGGGCCTCCCCCTTATACTGGACCATGGTGTAGTCTGTCCCTGGAAGGTGGCTGAGACTGCCTCTTTTGCTCCTCCCCCTGCCTCTTTTGCCCCCCCCCCCCTGCCTCTTTTGCCCCCCCCCCCGCCTCTTTCCGCCCCTCCCCCCGCCTCTTTTGCCCCCCCCCCGCCTCTTTTGCCCCCCCCCCCGCCTCTTTTGCCCCCCCCCTTCCTCTTTTGCCCCTCCCTCTCATATTCTGTCTCCTCCTCTCCTCTAGTTTAACAAACTGCAGCTGAAAGAAGACAAAGAGTCTCCATCCCAGGCTGAGAGTAAATGGTGAGTGACCAGAAATACATTTCATAGAAGAGCAGCCGCCGTCCCGGGGGAGGACAGGATAGGAGGAGCCCCAACATGTGATCTACTGCAGAATGTCCAGTATGGGAAATCTCCCCATTGTGGGAGGGGCAGAGACACAACTACTGCAGGGAAATCTCCCCATTGTGGGAGGGGCAGACACAAACTACTGCGGGGAAATCTCCCCATTGTGGGAGGGGCAGAGACACAACTACTGCAGGAAATCTCCCCATTGTGGGAGGGGCAGAGACACAAACTACTGCAGGGAAATCTCCCCATTGTGGGAGGGGCAGAGACACAAACTACTGCAGGGAAATCTCCCCCATTGTGGGAGGGGCAGAGACACAAACTACTGCAGGAAATCTCCCCATTGTGGGAGGGGCAGAGACACAACTACTGCAGGAAATCTCCCCATTGTGGGAGGGGCAGAGACACAAACTACTGCAGGAAATCTCCCCCATTGTGGGAGGGGGGCAGAGACACAAACTACTGCAGGGAAATCTCCCATTTGTGGGAGGGGCAGAGACACGAAACTACTGCAGGAAATCTCCCCATTGTGGGAGGGGCAGAGACACAAACTACTGCAGGGAAATCTCCCCATTGTGGGAGGGGCAGAGACACAAACTACTGCGGGTAAATCTCCCCATTGTGGGAGGGGCAGACACAAACTACTGCGGGGAAATCTCCCCATTGTGGGAGGGGCAGAGACACACTACTGCGGGTAAATCTCCCCATTGTGGGAGGGGCAGAGACACAAACTACTGCAGGGAAATCTCTCCCCATTGTGGGAGGGGCAGAGACACAAACTACTGGGGGAAATATCCCCATTGTGGGAGGGGCAGACACAAACTACTGGGGGAAATCTCCCATTGTGGGAGGGGCAGAGACACAAACTACTGAGGGAAATCTCCCCATTGTGGGAGGGGCAGAGACACAAACTACTGCAGGGAAATCTCCCCATTGTGGGAGGGGCAGAGACACAACTACTGCAGGGAAATCTCCCCATTGTGGGAGGGGCAGAGACACAAACTACTGCAGGGAAATCTCCCCATTGTGGGAGGGGCAGAGACACAAAACTACTGCAGGGAAATCTCCCCATTGTGGGAGGGGCAGAGACACAAACACTGCAGGGAAATCTCCCCATTGTGGGAGGGGCAGAGACACAAACTACTGCAGGGAAATCTCCCCCATTGTGGGAGGGGCAGAGACACAAACTACTGCAGGGAAATCTCCCCATTGTGGGAGGGGCAGAGACACAAGCTACTGCAGGAAATCTCCCCATTGTGGGAGGGGCAGAGACACAAACTACTGCAGGAAATCGCCCCATTGTGGGAGGGGCAGAGACACAAACTACTGCGGGGAAAATCTCCCCATTGTGGGAGGGGCAGACACACTACTGCAGGGAAATCTCCCCATTGTGGGAGGGGCAGAGACACAAACTACTGCAGGGAAATCTCCCCATTGTGGGAGGGGCAGAGACACAAACTACTGGAGGAAATCTCCCCATTGTGGGAGGGGCAGAGACACAAACTACTGCAGGGAAATCTCCCCATTGTGGGAGGGGCAGAGACACAAACTACTGCAGGGAAATCTCCCCATTGTGGGAGGGGCAGAGACACAAACTACTGGAGGGGGGCGGGGGGAAAAAACTCTACAATCTGCTGGGCAGACTTGACGGCTCTCCTCTGATTGTCTCGTTTCAGGCACAGATTCCACGGATAACAGTGAGGCCGGTGAGAAGGCCGTACTGAGGACGATGATAAAGGTCAGTTGTACATCTGTGGGCCCCGTTCCCGGGATCTCGGCCCGAATGGCGTTCCGATGATTTTGTGCTCTTTGTTATGTAGACTTATGTTGCCATACACAGAAATCAATTTTACATACAATCTCATTATCGGTAGATTTATCCGCTCGATCGGAAGATGAAAACCATTGTTGGATGGGTCGTACGACCGACAAATGATCTCTTTCCTACGAGCAGATTTCCTGTCCAGACCCGTCAGAATCATTTCAGGGAAATAAATTGGATGGAAAGGGCGTGTCCTTCCGATCGTTCCGATCACCAACCGATTCTGTGAAGAATCGTTCGATCAGATTGTTGTGTGTATGGCCACCATCTGTGATAGAAATGTGACGTCGCTGGCACAGTGCAGGCCGGCCCGTGGTCAGAAATTGTCCAGTTCATGGTTAATCTTGTGCTAGGATGACATTCAATGACCTCACAGCCACCATAGGGGGCGCCGGTGGAGTCACAGATCACTTGCAAAACGGCCGACGGGGAAGAAGATTTCTTAACCGCTTCCTTGTTTGTGAGCAATCCAGCAAAAACGTCGTCCATTTTTTTTTTTTTTTCTCTCTGTCAGAGGACAAGGCAGGCGCAGTCGCTGCACTCAACAAGCTGATCCGCGAAACAACCTGGTGAACACGACGAACCAAGTGGAAGTTCTGCAGCGGGAGACCCCAACTCTCCACTGTATTCGGTCAAGTCCGCTTTGAGGAGTCTAAGACTGTGACGTCCTGGCGGTGTGCCCTGTTATGGGGGGGGGGCTCCTGTGTGCTCCGGACAAATCTGATGTCGGTCAGGATATTTAATTTGTCTGCAGGGCTCCGTGGTCACCACAAATATATATATATATTATTTTTTTTTTTATTTTATTAATTCAGGTGGTATTAATACCTGAATTGGGCTGGGGGTAACTGTCTGCATTGTACAGCAGAGCTTCAGACTAGCAGGGACAGGGCTGGGAGCCCAACCAGTGTGCTGCAAATGCAAGAAACAAGAGAACAGCAGAGGGTGGAGAGAGGATGCCACAGAAATATCCTTGTTCTATAGCAGAGCTGCTGTGGATTATCAGGAAACAGGACTGGATGACAGATAATGTACAATATTTTGCAAGGTCTAACATCGACTGTTTACAGTATTTAAAGCAATCAAAAGCGGGGGAGGGTTCAGATATCTGTGCGCTGAACTTTAAGATGACACAGGGGGTATAATCTGCAAATCTGGTGCAGCTCTGCAGAGAAACCAATCCAGCTTCGCAGGTTTTTATGAAGACAGCGAGGTTAGAAGCTGAATGGCTCCCATGTGCAGCTGCTTCAAGTTTTACCTATTGGTGCCCCAAATGAAATTTCGAAAGTACACTTCTGGTGGATGAACTGGATGGACTTTTTGTTCCTTTTTTTTTTTCAGCCAGACAAACTATGTTAACTTTGGCGAAAAAACCGAAATGCGCCGTTTTAAAATGAAATATATTTTTTTGAAATAAAAAATTACACGGATTAAAAAAAAAAAACAATATATTACCCCAATATTTTGTAAAATATGAAGGAGGAAGTTACGGCGAGTAAATAGATTCCCAACGTGCCCTTTAAAAATT